GCCCTGTCGCTGGTGGCGCTCTAGCCGCAGCAGGTGTCCTCAATTTGGTCGGGAGTGCTCACCTGCAAGTTGAGCCCTTCGCGTTCCTCGAGGGACACGTAGCAAAAGCCAAAGTTGGCCGGGCCGTACGCAAAGGAGAATCCCTCGTCGCAGCTCGGCTCGCCCTGCGCCACCTTGCGCTCCTTGCCCCGCGGTGACGCGGCGGGCGGCCGGCCGTTGCGCGGCGATTCGTGCTTCGCCGTGCCGCCCTCGGCGACACCCTCGCCGGTGCCGTCGCCACTGTCCACGCCGCCCTCGGCGCCGCCCTGCTCGCCATCGGCGGGGAGGACTTGGCCAGGCACGTTGGCGGTGTCCCCAATATGAATAGGCGCAGCGGCATCGGGCTCCGTGCTACCCACAGCGGCTGCGCTAACGCTGCGCGGCTGAGACTCGGCAGACTCCCGGCGGCGGCGGGCCCACTCGGCCGCTGCCTGTCTGGTGCCTTCCGGCGGTGCCATCAGAGGCCTCGCCGCCGACGGCTGAATCGACGGTGTAGCGGCAGGCGCAGGCGCAGGCGCAGGCTCGGGCGTCGGCGGCTCATCCTGCTCGCACTGCGCCTCGCCGCGCGAGGCCGCCTTGCGCCGTTTCTTGATGAGGAGCCCCATGACGCAGAGGTGGCAGGAGGAGCGGCGGCGGGCTCGGCTTCTAAGACGACCGCCTTTCCGGCTCGGGGAACGTCGCAAAAGAAAACATCTTTAGCGTGGCGTGTGCAGCTCCAGGGCACCTCCGGGGATTCCACCGCGCGATCTCGGCCTGGTCCAAGACTCCAAATCAGCTCTCGGCGGTATTCGTAAAATGTTCCAGCGTTCGAGAGAGAGATTTTTAGCCATAGCGTTTGCGGTTTGATTCTGGTTTGATTTTCAGTTTGGTTGCGACGGGAGAGTCCCCCCGCGCGGCGCGGGCACACCGAAGAACAAACCTCATGGCGCCTGGAAATTAGGTGCCCGGTAGGCTTGGCTGCAAAGGGGATTTTCGCGTTTTGTTTTTTTATTCAGGGTTTTGAAACTGATTCCGTTTGCAACAAACGGAATCAAGAAAAGAAACGACGGCAAAAGCAGGCGGCGTCTCGTGCTCGACCAGGATCGCCGTCCCGGCGCGAGAATGCAGCCGGGCTTGCCGTCGTGCAGCCCTTTTTGCTTCGGCTCGTCGTCAGCGACGCGCCAGTCCTGGCGCAGCCGCCCCGCCGTGCGGTCCACGGCCTTGCAGCCCGTCGACGCGCCCGACGACGTGACCGCGGCCGAGATGGAGGCCTTCATGGACCACATCCAGCCGAGCTTGTACCAGCCGCCCGACGACAGCGACATCGCCCATGAGTTCACGGCGTGGCTGGCGGCGCGCCGCGAGACGTTGCGGACCGCCGCCGGTGCAGGCCGCCCTCGCGACTCGCAGGCCGACGTCGCCGCACCCGACGCCGCCGGCGGCGAGGAGTCGCCCGACAACGAGACGGGGCGCGCGACTCCGCCCGCACCTGCGCCGGCGGCGGCGTCCGGCCGCCGGCGCCGGCGCAAGCCGCTCGCCGGCGGCGGCGGCGAGAAGGAGAACGCGGACGTCGAGATGACGCGCTCATGGTCGAGCGGCCCCAGCCAGCGCAGATGGAGCAGCGCTGGCGCG